ACAACAACAAAAATCAGTATAATATCACAAGTGGTATCTGGAGAGGATAATGCGTATGCAGATCTTATCCCCACCTTGTGAAGGTAGAGATGTTATTTTCGATGGACCCTCAGCTTAGTAACTTACATAATAATACACAACATCAAATCGTAACTAATTTAAATTATGATCTCAATCAAATAGTATCATGTTAAAGGGATTTTTTTTGGGTTAGACAATTATAAGAGTTGATGGTCCAAAATATTAAGGGAATCTTACATAAATATCCCAAATAAGTCCTAACTTACCAACCTCTAGCCATTAATCATAAACTTTTCAAAACTAGCCAAGCACATATAAAAATTAAAAATCCAAATAAATAATGTTCTTTTTTTTTCAAGAATCACACGCAAAAATCTCCTAATTTCATATTTTTAAGCGTGATTAGCAACATTAGATGCAAGACAGAAAGAAAATTCATGGATGAGGTAGCAAACAAGGTGATGAAATACAAAAAAATATACAAGATTCCAAAAATCTAAGCAAAAAAGAACTTTTTTCAATGAGTATGGTTGAAATTCATTGAAAACATATTGGTGAGTCAATATACAAAATTTGAGGAAGAGTGGAGGTAATTTGGACTGATTTGGTATCAAAATTCGTAGTTAAAATCAAGTTCAAAAAATACTTCGGCGACACATGTATCACGCACACGGGTATACATAAATATACATGTGATACACATTTGATACAAATATGATACATATATGATACACAAATAATATAAAGTAGATACACATATCATTTTTTTCATGTTCATCTTCTACTTCGAATTTTCAATTCAAACCACCTCAAAACTCCACCAAATTATCCCAAAACTCATATTCAAACTTCTTAAGATGTACGCAATCTATTCTAATAACACTCACTCAAAAGAAAAAAAATTGATATTTTTTTTACTACAAATGGTGTTGAGATTTGTATTGTATTTATTCTTTTTGTTCATAACCTGTACAGTAGCTAGTGGAATGTAATTAGTGGAATTGGTTAGTGAGCTGTCACATGGTAAATGACAGCTGTCATTAGTTAGTTGGCTAGACTAGAAGTTTAGTACATTCTATAAGTAGGAACCTAATTGTATATTTTTATTTTCTAAGTTAATTAAAAATAAAAAGTACAGCTCCTTTTCCAGAAGCTTCAGTCTCATTCTCTTCCTCTCTGTATATCCTCTGATTCCTCCATTGGAGCTCTTATTGATCTCATGTTTCTCTCGTTGTTTTTACAATTTCACATGGTATCAGAGCACATGCATTAGTCCTAGAGCCTCTTTGCTTCGTATTTCGATTTTCTGTTCATACAAATAGAAATTGTTCGTTAATTTCGGGAATTAGGGTTCCTGTGTAAGAATCGATCAATTAGTCGATTAATCTCAGTAATTTATTTTAGCTGACAACGATTTCAACTCTACTGAACCAAATCATGGCTTTAGATGATGAGATTCTGGTGACAGATAAGACAACCCTAGATTCTACGAGTCCGCTATACATGCATCCGTCAGAAAGCGCTGGATATATGTTAGTGTCGGTGGCCTTTGACGGAACTAGCTATAGATCATGGAGAAGAGGAATCCTGAGAGCACTCTCTGTGAAGAACAAAGTAGGCTTCATCACCGAAAAGTGTAAGAAACCAGATCCCATTTCAGCTACCCTCGACCAATGGGAACGATGCGACGACATAGTGACCTCGTGGATCTTAAACTCACTGTCTAAGGACCTAGCAGACAGCCTACAATATGTCAATGATGCTAGGGAACTTTGGTAGGAATTGGAAGACAGGTATGATCAGACCAATGGTGCTAGGTTGTATCAGTTCCAAAAGGAGATAAACGATTTGAGTCAAGGGAATTTGGACATTACTGGATACTACACAAAAATGAAGAAGTTTTGGGAGAAACTCAACACACTGAACATACATGCTAAGTGTGCTTGTAAATGCACATGTGGAGCTAAAGAAAACATGCGCAAAGATGAGCAAGATAGAAGATTAATCCAATTTCTGATAGGCCTAAACGAAGTGTACACTGTGGTGAGAGGAAGTATTTTGATGATGAATCCACTCCTAACAATAGCCTGGGCCTTCTCTATTCTTATTCAGGAGGAAAAGCAAAGGAAAGTCAAACCGATTACTCACTTTTTGATGGATTCTGCTACCTTGAATGCAAATGGACCATGAAGCAATAATTTCAGGACAAACTACACTCAGCAGGGGAACAATAACACAAATAGTGGATATAGGGGAAATCAGTTCACTAATAGACCTCGGTTGTTTTGTGAGTACTGCAAAAGGCCATGACACACTAAGAAAAAATGTTATAAAGTTCACGGATTCCTACAAGACTCCAAATTTAATAAAGGAAGAAGGTTTGCAGGAAATGTGCCTGGGTCATCAAGTGAAGGTGCTGCAGTAAAAGATGATGGAAATAACTCTCAGAATCAGGAGCAGGGTCGAACTATGCATAACGTAACTAAGGAGCAATATGGACAGCTACTCAGCATCTTGGAAAGCTTTCAAGGAGGAGGAGACAAATCCTGAAACACTACCACAAATGGAGGAGCTGTGAACGTTGCAGGTATCTCAGCATGCTCTACTCATTTTGATTCTGGTAATCAATCGTGTGAGAATTCCAATTCAAATGATGACTCTTGGATACTTGACTCTGGATCCACAAACCATATGACATATAATAAATCATTACTAACCAATATCAGAACTTTAGTTTATCCCTACCTAGTTACTCTACCTAACGGTTACAAAGTAAAGGTGACACTGATTGGTGATGTAATCCTTAGTCCTAGGTTCAGTCTTAGAAAGGTCCTTTTTGTGTCTAGTTTCAAGTTCAATTTGATATCAGTCCATTCCTTGATAGTCTAACTTGATCATATTGTAATATTTACCAAGTTTGTCTGCATCATTCAACAGGGCCCTTCACTGAAGAGGCCACTGGAGATTGGTAAAGCCAAGACTGGTCTATACTTCCACTGTTCGGACAACTACAACACTGGTTCTACTTCCCCTGATTTTTCTAGTGCATCTTATCCATGTCATACCACTAATAAAGATGAGGTATACTCTGCAGTTAACACATCTAGTTCATTATTTTTTTTTCTCATTTAGCTAGTACAAATAAGCCACATTCTACCATCCTTGTTGCATCTACTTTTGTTGTTCCATCTCACAATAGTAATAAGAGTAGTTCTTTTCCACATCTGCATCATTTTATAAATAAATCAAGAAATAAAAGTGATTCTTGTCTGTCTGATACTTCCTCAACTACAAAGAATCTGCTTGATCTCTTGTGACATAACAGATTAGGACATGTACCTTTTGTCAAAATGAAAGAAATTTCTTCTGTACCTGTTACTTTTGCACCCAAACAACCTTTCCTTTGCCCTATTTGTCCAATGGAAAGACAAACCAGATTGCCTTTCCCAGAAAGAACAACATTAACTACTAAGATCTTTGAGCTGTTACAAATTGACCTATGGGGTCCCTATCATGTTACAACACACAATAAATATAAATACTTCATCACACTTGTGGATGATTACAACAGGTCCACATGGACTCATTTGTTAGTTGTAAAAGCAATGCCCTGCATACTATCAAGGCTTTTTCTTCCATGATAGAGAACCAATTCAACACTAGTATCAAAATTATAAGAACTGACAATGGCCTTGAGTTCACCAGTTTTGAAGCCACCTCATTTTTCTAATCAAAAGGCATCATACATCAGAAAATATACCCATATACACCACATCAAAATAGTATGGTGGAAAGAAAACACAAATACCTGCTAGAAACAGCCAAGGCACTCTTATAGCAGTCTAAATTGCCCATGCAATATAGGGGAGAGTGTGTCTTGACATCTGCTTATTTGATAAATAGATTACCCTCATCATCACTCAAAGCTAAATGCCTATTTGAACTACTATACTTGAAGAAACCAAATTATTCCCATCTTAGAGGCTTTGGGTGCTTATGTTTTTCTACTAATCTCAAAACTCACAAAGATAAATTTGAAACAAGATCCACTCCTCATATTTTTGCGGGATACCCCTTTGGGACAAAAGGTTACAAGGTACTAAATCTAGCCACAAAGAAAATAAGTGCTTCAAGAGATGTAGTATTCTATGAAAATGTGTTCCCATTTTTGCCCTGTCTACTAGTCCTAGTAAAGTATTCCCTTCATTTCCTCAAATGAAATCACACATATCAGATGAATTCTTTCCTGCCAATGATACAGGGAGCACTTCACACTTAGTGACAGAAAATCACCATGAAGTGTCACCAAGGACTTTGTCTAGGAATGAACAACTGTCTGAATCAGATCCAATATCACCTCAACCTCATTTTTTTGATAATAACTCAACATTCTCTCAGTCACTCTTGAGCAGTCAGACATCAGGAGTGTTTCCTGTTGCTGATAGTCCAACTGTCTCAATTCAAGACCAAAACATTTTAGTTTCAGATCAGAGTAGACCTTCCAGAACCTTGAAAATTCCTACTTACCTTAAAGACTATGAGTACACAATTCCAAAACTACAGCATGCTCATCAAAACCAGTCCCCCTCTTCTAATGATAGCCAAAGTACATCATCATTTTCTTTTACCACATTTACACCCAGACTTCATCATAATCCCTTCAATGCCCTAAATTCCACCAGTCAGCATTTGATGGAAACTGCCTCACATGAATGTGAACCTAATTCATATGAGAAAGTTGTTGTGAAACCTGCTTGGCAAGCAACAATGAATCAGGAATTCCAAGCATTATATACAAACAAGACTTGGGATTTAGTTCCTCTTCTAGTTGAAAAAAGGCAATAGGGTGTAAGTGGGTGTATAAAATCAAGCATAAAATAGATGGAGGCATAGAAAGGTTTAAAGCAAGATTTGTGGTGAAGGGTTACACACAGCATGCTGGGATAGATTATACAGAGACCTTCTCACCATTAGTGAAGATGACAATTGTGAGAGCCTTGATAGAAATAACAGTCAACAAAGGATGGCAAATTTTACAGTTGGATGTCAACAATGCATTCCTCCATGGAGATCTCCATGAAGAGGTGTACATGGAGGTGCCACCAGGGCTGGTTGTGGAAAGGCCAGGTTTAGTGTGCAAATTAAACTACTCCCTGTATGGACTCAAACAAGCAAGCAGACGGTGGTATGAGAAATTAACTGAAGCATTATGTTCTAGGGGGTATACTCATTCAATGCTTGATTAATCTATGTTCTATAAAAAGGTTGAAGGATCAGTAGTATTTGTGGTTGTCTATGTAGATGATGTTCTTGTCACAGGTACTCACCTGCAAGAGATTGAGTCCTTGAAAGATTTTCTACACAACACATTCAAGATAAAAGACCTGGGGAGGCTTCAGCTTCATTACTTCCTAGGCTTAGAGGTTCAATACACAGACAAAGGAGTTTTGATGTCACAAAAGAAGTTCACTATGGATCTTTTGAAAAAGTTTGGTTGTATAGATTGTCCGCCTATGACTTCCCCTCTGGATTCATCTGTGAAGCTGAAGGCTGATGAATGAGCCTTATTAACAGACCCTTCCTATTACAGGAAGTTGATTGGGAAGCTCAACTTTCTCACTAATACTAGGCTAGACATTGCTTATAGTGTACAACATCTCAGTCAGTTAATGCAAAGTCCCAGGGAACCACATTTGAAGGTTGCATCTCCAGTCTTAAGTACTTGAAAGGTGATCCAACCTTGGGAATTTTCCTTACTAATGATGCAGACTATAGAGTGAAAGCCTTCTATGATTCATATTGGGCAACATGTCCCCAATCCAGAAAATCAGTCAGTGGCTACATTGTATTACTTGGGGACAACCCTATTAGTTGGAAATCTAAGAAGCAGTCCACAATTTCCTTATCCTCTGCAGAAGCTAAGTACAGATCAACTAGAATGGTTGTTGGAGAACTTGTCTGGCTTGCCAGGCTTCTTACTGAGCTCATTGTTCCTCTATCCTTACCCATTCCCATATTCTGTGACAGCCAAGCTGCCCTACACATAGCAAGGAATCCTGTGTTCCATGAGAGTACGAAACATATTGAAGTGGACTGCCATTTTGTACGAGACCAGTTACAGGAAGGATTGATTTTCCTACACCATATTTCTACTAATAACTAATTAGCCGATATTTTTACCAAGTCTTTGACAGGGATCAAACATTCCACACTCCTTGGCAAGTTGGCAGTGAACCCCTCACCTCCAACTTGAGGGGGTGTTGAGATTTATATTGTATTTATTCTTTTTGTTCATTACCTGTACTGCAGCTAGTGGAATGTAATTAGTGAAATTGGTTAGTGAGCTGTCACATGGTAAATGACAGTTGTCATTAGTTAGTTGGCTAGACTAGAAGTTAGTACATTCTATAAGTAGGAACCTAATTGTATATTTTTATTTTCTGAGTTGATTAAAAATGAAAAGCACAATTCCTTTTCCAGAAGCTTCAGTCTCGTTCTCTTCCTCTCTGTACATCCTTTGATTCCTCCATTGGAGCTCCTATTGAGCTCGTGTTCCTCTCGTTGTTTTTACAATTTCACAAATAGCTAATTGACTAATATTAGTAATTTTTAGATAATATTTTTAATATTTTATAAATTGATTAATTTTTGTAATAAACTACTTATAAATGGACATAGCTAGTAGTTTCCCAAATACTATTAATATTGACCAAACACTCAAACTATTGGGCGCTAAATAACACAATTGAGCGCACAGAAAAGCCCATTACCAGAAGTGTCACCTAAAGCACCAGGCCCAAAACACCAATCAGTTAAAAAGACCATCAGATTATGACACGTGGAAAGATTCATACCACAGAATATGGCGCCAACTAAGGGGAGGGAACAGACAGGCTAACTGACGGCGAATGGTCACATGGGATTCGGATTCTCTTGTCGTAAGCCGCAAATTTCGATGGACCCCACATTTACTACCCAGCAGTTTACCCGCTACCGATCTTCCCGGTCATCCATCAACCTTAATATCAAGAAAAAAACTATAAAAAGAAAATACTTTCCATTTCACAAATCTTTCATTAATTAGACTTTTGCAAAATTACCCAAAATTGCTGTGAGATTAAAGTGAAAAATCTCTCTTTGTTTTGGCACATTTTGTTCTTTCGCTCTCTCTGCGAATAAGGCTCTTTTTGTTAAAGCTCTAAATAGAGGAGGGCTGTTCGCAGAGAGAGTTAAAGAATTACATATTTATTATTATTAATAATATTATTATTATTATTAACAATGGCGATAATTGGTTCTAGTAAGGTGCTGTTTGGTTTCTTTGCTGCATTTGCCCTAATTTTCTCCATCTTTTTACCTGCTGTTCAGGGTCAAGAATCTTTTGCTCCGGCCCCTGCTCCGGCAAGTGACGGTTAGTTTTTTCTTTTCTATAACTTTTTTTCATTTCCTTTTTCTGAATATATGCCCTTTTGTTTGGTCTAAAATAAATAAATTAATTCTCTCTTTTCAAAAGTTAGTGCAGTTGAACCGCTTAAACATAGTATTAGAGAATTAGATCAACAAAATATTTTCAGGTCTTTAGTTCATAAAATAATCAAGTTCACACGTAACGATATCTAATATAGAACTTAAATAAATAAATAGAGGGTCTTTTTTTTGGTTAGTTTAAATTTGATGGTCATATCTAATATCTTCTGTCCGTTTTGGTTCGGTTTACATGTTCGTTGTAATAATAGTGGTGTTGGCAGAAATGACACTGGTATCGAATTTGTTAAGAAATTTGGTGAGTTAATATAATGTACTCCAGAATTATTGTGCCAAATTAGGTCCAATGTAGTGTGACGGCAGTGATCTATAGTATTATGGTTAATTTTGGGTATTAATTTTAATTATTCTCATTATTTTCCTCTGGTTAATTTTTAGATATTCTTTTTAGAGGACAATCTTACGCATTAATTACATAATTATGCTGTATACTCTGATTTATACTTTTGATACATGTTGAATGCTTACAATGTTATGCTTAATATGAATTAAACAGGTAATAATCAGAATGATTAGACTGTTTAAGGTATTAAGATTGAAAATCCGATCAAGTATTGGGATACCTCAATTATTAGTCGTTTTGACAAAAAAAATTCTTTTAAAATGTTTAATGTTTTAAAAGAAAAAGAATCTTTTATTACCTTTTTTTTCCAAATTCACCTTCACCACTTTAATTAGTGGATTCCGAATCAAATGAGATATTTAAGAAAGAGAAATAAAGAGTAATTTAGATAAATAATCTCATACTTAAGGCTATTAAGTATCTCGTACAAAAATATTAAAAGACAGATAATATGAACTGGTGAAATAGTATTTCAAATTACTACTAGTTTCTCCATTTCTTGTTTGTATAGATAAAACATTATCGTTTACACCTTATTGTAGTTCCTATTTTTGTTTCATTTTTCTTATTCTATTCTTCTAAATTGATTTTTACTATTGTGTTCAGGAACAACAATTGACCAAGGGATTGCCTACGTATTAATGTTGTTGGCATTGGCAATAACATACTTAATTCATGCCGCTGATGTCCCTTTTGGTGTCTAAAAAAGTTTGATCAGTGAAGATAATTTATTTCGCGAGTGCCTATGATTTTGGGACATATATAAGGTTGTTGTGGTGTGTCTAGGACATGTAAATTTTGTCATTTTTATTCATAGATTCTACTTTTTGACAAGCTATTTGTTCTGAGATTTTTCAACAGAATCTATATTATATTTCCACATTTTTTTACCTTTTTCTTAGCCTTTTATCTTCGTGTACCCGCTTATTGTTGTGCTTATTTTGTCTTTAGTTCTTTGTTACATTTTCACAGCAAAGCTATACTGAATGATTATTTTCTTTTAATATTCTAGTGTTTATTTATACTTTTGTCGTCGGCAAATCGTCTTGTATTTGTTTTGCTATTAACCAAGTTCCATTGTGATATGTGTGTACTTCATGCATCCAACTACTTTGAGAAAAAAAGGTCCAAATTGATCTAAATACATGTGCTAAGCACGGGTAGGAATCGAATCTACATTGAACCTTATGGGTGCTTAAGCACCCATTGTTTTTTAGCCAAATATTATATTTCTATATTGGAAACTAGTACTTGTATAAGGTACCGAGCACAGTGTTGATGGTCCAAGTACCCGTGCATAAGGTATTGGATCATTGCACAATTAGCCCACGTCTATTCTTGAGAAATCCTCTACTATAAAGGGAAGGGAATTTTACACAAATAGCCTGCGTAGTTCATTGTTTATTTTTTTTTAGTTGTTATACATATATTATATTTTGATTATACATAGTTATACATATATTATACATAAAGCTTACATATATTATATATCTGACGGCTATTTTTAATATAAGAAATTAGGTAGGCGGCTATTTGGGTTAATTCTTCTAAAGGAAAATTGACACAACCTGGCTTAAGATGTTTGTTATAAGGCCCAAAAATGCGGACTCCAGCAGTTATCCGTGGGCTTTCATCCTAATATTGTGCATTTTTGGCCCAAAATAGTTGAGTGTAGCATTCCCCTATTCTCTCTCCCACTTACAATTTGTTTTCTAATTTATAAGATACCAGTTAATATTAATTAAGTTTTAGTCATATCAATACGTATACTTTGCTAATTGTTTGTGAGGAGTCTTTTTAGTCCCGTAAGATTTATATGCCAACAAAAATGAAGAGAACTTCTAAAGCTAGACAACTTTTTTTTTTTTAATAATATTGGACTGAGACGATTTACATGTAGGAAAAAAATAGGTAGAAATGACACTAGGTAGCCACTTTATATGATTACTTTTTAGAAATTATCCACTGTGTTCTGAATTTTAGTTTTACAGTTTAATTTTTCAGGACAAATGTCTTGAATTGTCCTGAAGTCAAGATTTTTAGTTTAAAATTTTAGGACAAAATAAATACTGATTAATCTCTAAATAGCATCCCTGAGAATAACTATTTGTGCACTTGCCCCAAAAAATAGTGGAAATTCATAAATCTACCCAACTTAATTTAGATTGACACGTTATTGTTATTGTTTAAGGAGATACTAACCAAGTAACTTGAAGAAGAGAATGTCCAATTGAGCAACAATAATCAAAATATGGAATATGTTATAAGAAAAATTAATTTACAGTGGATGTCTACTCTTCTGCATTATTTTCATAATTCACACTACTCTAATACTTATGTAGTTATGATTGTAGTTCCATGATCTTTCTCTTAAATGTTTAATGACATGTTCAATGACATATTTACAATAGTGATTCTTCACTTTTCATGCCTATATAAAGGCCTTGTAATATATAGGAAAAGATACACAATTGAAGAAGAAAATCTCTTCCTTCTCTCTATCTCTATTTCCTGTTCATGTTTTATTAAATTGCTTTTATTTCATAACATGTTATTAGCACGAACTGCTTATTTCAAGAGTATTCAAAACAAAATTTTATGTTTTCAAGAGTAAAATAGTTTTGTGAGATAAATTTTATGTTACTTTTGTTATGATTACTGATATTGTGAAGAAGTATTTTTTAAATTTTGCTTCTACCCAAATTATGTTTATTATTTAATAACTTCTATTTCTCTAGATAATTCACTAGATGCTATAAATAATTGATAAAGCTTTACGCATATTTGAGGTTTATATATTTATTTAGGAAGGCAAATTTGATTTGCTAAATTGCAAATTCGTTGTGTACAACTTTCCTGGCATGTGATTAAAATTAAGGCTTGAGAGTGAATCTCAATATTGTTTTGCCTATTATGCCATTGATTGAGAGTAAAGCGGTAAATTCAAGCCCACTGCACCATGAGAATAAAATATCGGGTGTGTGAGTTCTGGTGCACCATGGTAATAAGGGTTGAGCTCGAGTTCCAACTCATTATGAGTTTGAGTTCTAATGCACCATATTGATGATATAATGATGACTAAAGAAAAATAATGTATTTTTCATGAAAAAGTATGAAGTTTGTCCCACTTGATTTGCTCCATTCTTGAAGTGAGTATGAAAGCGGTGCATAATAAGTCTAAATAAAGACAAGTGGTTGACCAATGAACGTGGACATCGAAAGACAATAATAGTAATAGTCATCATTATTTTAATTGTAAAAAGGAGAACAATAAG